CGCCAAATGACTAATCATCCAAGAATTGACCAAACAAGAGCTAACAACCGCAGCAACTATCATTGCCCTACTCTCCCTGCTAGGACTTTTCTTCTACCTTCGCTTTGCCTATTGTGCAACAATCACCCTCCCACCCAACTCCGTTAACCATATAAAACAGTGACAAGTTAGCAAACCTATTAACACCCTAACCTCTACACTCACCATGCTGTCAATTATACTCTTACCTTTATCTCCTACAATTCTCACAATTCCATAGAAACTTAGGTTACTTAAACTGAGGGCCTTCAAAGCCCTAGACAAGAGTTATCTCCTCTTAGTTTCTGTTAAGATCCGCAGGACATTATCCTGCATCTCCTGAATGCAACCCAGGCACTTTAACTAAGCTAGGACCTTTCCTAGACAGATGGGCTTCGATCCCATATCTTTCTAATTAACAGTTAGATGCCATAACCACCAGGCTCCTGTCTACTAGACCCTGATGCATACTTAATGCATATCTTTGAGCTTGCAACTCAATATGAAATTCACTACAGAGTCGATAAGAAGAGGAATTAAACCTCTGTCAAAAGGTCTACAGCCTAACGCCTTAACTCTCGGCCATCTTACCTATGACTTTCATCAACCGATGACTATTCTCAACAAACCACAAAGATATTGGTACCCTATACTTAATTTTCGGCGCCTGAGCCGGCATGATTGGTACTGCCCTAAGTCTCCTTATCCGAGCAGAACTTGGACAACCAGGAACCCTTCTAGGAGACGACCAAATCTATAATGTAATTGTTACCGCCCATGCTTTTGTAATAATCTTCTTTATAGTAATACCTATTATAATTGGAGGATTTGGCAACTGACTAGTCCCCCTAATAATTGGTGCCCCCGATATAGCATTCCCACGCATGAACAACATAAGTTTCTGACTTCTTCCCCCATCATTCCTTCTCCTCCTAGCCTCATCTACAATTGAAGCCGGAGTAGGAACTGGATGAACCGTATACCCACCATTAGCTGGCAATCTAGCACATGCTGGAGCTTCAGTAGACCTGGCCATCTTCTCACTTCATCTTGCAGGCATTTCCTCAATCCTAGGTGCCATCAACTTCATTACCACTGCAATTAACATGAAACCACCAGCCCTATCACAATATCAAACCCCCTTGTTCGTATGATCTGTCCTAATCACCGCAGTTCTTCTCCTCCTCTCTCTACCAGTTCTCGCTGCCGGTATCACCATACTCCTGACAGACCGCAATCTCAACACTACATTCTTTGACCCCGCAGGAGGTGGAGATCCAGTTCTATACCAACACCTCTTCTGATTTTTTGGTCATCCAGAAGTCTACATTCTTATCCTACCAGGATTTGGTATTATCTCACACGTTGTAGCCTACTATGCTGGCAAAAAAGAACCATTCGGCTATATAGGAATAGTCTGAGCCATACTATCCATCGGCTTCTTAGGCTTTATCGTATGAGCTCATCATATATTCACAGTAGGAATAGACGTAGATACCCGAGCATATTTTACATCTGCCACAATAATTATTGCAATTCCCACTGGCATTAAAGTCTTTAGCTGATTAGCTACCCTACACGGAGGTACTATTAAATGAGAACCACCTATACTATGAGCCCTAGGATTCATTTTCCTATTCACTATTGGAGGACTTACAGGCATTGTCCTAGCTAACTCTTCCCTAGACATCGCCCTCCATGATACCTATTATGTAGTAGCACATTTCCATTACGTCTTATCTATAGGTGCCGTATTTGCAATCCTAGCAGGATTCACACACTGATTCCCACTCTTTACAGGATACACTCTCCACCCAACATGAGCTAAAGCACACTTTGGTGTAATATTTACAGGAGTAAACCTAACCTTCTTCCCCCAACATTTCCTAGGCCTAGCTGGCATGCCACGACGATACTCAGACTACCCAGACGCCTATACTCTATGAAACACTTTATCTTCCATTGGTTCACTCATCTCTATAATCGCTGTAATTATACTTATATTCATTATCTGAGAAGCCTTTGCATCTAAACGAAAAGTCCTACAACCCGAACTTATTACAACCAACATCGAATGAATTCATGGCTGCCCGCCCCCATATCACACCTTCGAGGAACCAGCCTTTGTCCAAATCCAAGAAAGGAAGGAATCGAACCCTCACAAGCTGGTTTCAAGCCAACCGCATTAAGCCACTCATGCTTCTTTCTTATGGGCTGTTAGTAAAACAATTACATAGTCTTGTCATGACTAAATTACAGGTGAAATTCCAGTACACCCCACCTCCTTCCAATGGCTAACCACTCTCAATTCGGTTTCCAAGACGCCTCATCCCCTATCATAGAAGAACTAATTGAATTTCATGACCACGCTTTAATAGTTGCCCTAGCAATCTGTAGCTTAGTACTTTATCTCCTATCCCTCATACTTAAAGAAAAACTTTCCTCAAATACTGTTGACGCACAAGAAGTAGAACTAGTTTGAACTATCCTCCCTGCAATCGTTTTAATCATACTAGCTCTCCCCTCTCTCCAAATTCTCTACATAATAGACGAAATTGACGAGCCTGACCTCACCCTTAAAGCCATTGGTCATCAATGGTACTGAACCTATGAATACACAGATTTCAAAGACTTAACCTTCGATTCATATATACTCCCCACATCAGAACTCCCACTAGGCCACTTCCGATTACTAGAAGTCGACCACCGTATTGTTATTCCCATAGAATCTCCTATTCGAGTCATTGTCACCGCCGATGATGTTCTGCACTCCTGAGCTGTCCCTAGCCTTGGTGTAAAAACTGATGCTATCCCAGGACGACTCAACCAAACATCCTTCATTACCACTCGACCTGGAATCTTTTATGGCCAATGCTCAGAAATTTGTGGAGCCAACCACAGTTTTATACCTATCGTAGTCGAATCAGCCCCTCTCACCCACTTTGAAAGCTGATCCTCTCTTCTATCATCCTAAGCATTAAGAAGCTATGAACCAGCACTAGCCTTTTAAGCTAGAGAAAGAGGATCTCTAACCCCTCCTTAATGATATGCCTCAACTAAACCCAGCACCATGATTTTTTATCCTACTAACTTCATGATTAACCTTCACCTTCATTTTACAACCCAAAATCCTACTATTTACTCCCACAAACCCCCCTTCAAATAAAACCCTTTCCACTATAAAAGCCTCCCCCTGAAACTGACCATGAACATAAGCTTCTTCGATCAATTTATAAGTCCATCTCTTCTAGGAATCCCACTAATCCTCATTTCACTCCTATTCCCAACACTCCTATTCCCCTCACCTGACAACCGGTGAATCACAAACCGTATCTCCACCCTTCAACTCTGGTTTTTTCAACTAATTACAAAGCAACTCATAACCCCATTGAACAAGAAAGGACACAAATGAGCCCTAATTTTACTTTCCCTCATAATCCTCTTACTGACAATCAACCTCCTAGGACTTCTACCATATACATTCACTCCCACCACTCAACTATCAATAAATCTTGCCCTAGCTTTCCCTCTATGACTTGCTACTCTGCTTACAGGGCTACGGAACCAACCCTCAATTGCACTAGGCCATCTCCTACCAGAAGGTACCCCAACAGCCCTAATTCCTGCTCTTATTTTAATCGAAACTACCAGCTTACTCATCCGCCCTTTAGCCCTAGGAGTCCGCCTAACAGCCAACCTCACAGCCGGACACCTACTTATCCAACTTATCTCAACCGCCTCCACTGTCCTCCTACCCATTATACCAACAGTATCTTTACTAACCACAATTATCCTCCTACTACTTACCATTCTAGAAGTAGCAGTTGCTATAATCCAAGCCTATGTTTTTGTCCTCCTATTAAGTCTTTACCTACAAGAAAATATCTAACCCCAATGACCCACCAAGCACACTCATTCCACATAGTTGATCCAAGCCCTTGACCCATTTTCGGAGCAGCAGCCGCCCTCCTCACCACCTCAGGGCTAGCTATATGATTCCACCATAACTCCACTCAACTACTAACACTAGGTTTGCTAACAATAATCCTTGTTATAATCCAATGATGACGTGACATTGTACGAGAAAGTACATTCCAAGGTCATCATACACCTACTGTCCAAAAAGGTCTACGCTATGGCATAATCTTATTTATTACATCTGAAGCCTTCTTCTTCCTAGGCTTTTTCTGAGCATTCTTCCATTCAAGCCTAGTTCCCACCCCAGAACTCGGAGGTCAATGACCCCCCATAGGGATTAAACCCCTCAACCCTATAGAAGTACCTCTACTGAACACAGCAATCTTACTAGCCTCCGGTGTTACCGTCACATGAGCACATCACAGTATCACAGAGGGTAATCGAACTCAAGCCACCCAAGCCCTATTCATAACCATCCTTCTAGGATTCTACTTTACAGCACTTCAAGCAACAGAATATTATGAAGCTCCTTTCTCAATCGCTGACGGAGTTTACGGATCAACCTTCTTCGTAGCTACAGGATTCCATGGACTCCACGTAATTATTGGCTCCTCCTTCCTATTAATTTGTTTCCTCCGACTTATTAAATTCCACTTCACACCCAACCACCACTTCGGTTTTGAAGCGGCAGCTTGATACTGACATTTTGTTGATGTCATCTGACTATTCCTCTACATAACTATCTACTGATGAGGATCATGCTCTTCTAGTATAACAATTACAATTGACTTCCAATCTCTAGATTCTGGGCTAAAACCAGAGAAGAGCAATTAACATAATCCTTTTTATATTCATCCTATCTTCATTACTTAGCATCACCCTAACAATATTGAACCTGTGACTAGCACAAACTACTCCCGACTCAGAAAAATTATCCCCCTATGAATGTGGATTTGACCCCCTAGGCTCCGCCCGCCTTCCCTTCTCAATTCGATTCTTCTTAGTCGCAATTCTATTCCTCCTTTTCGACTTAGAAATTGCCCTTTTACTACCTCTTCCATGAGCCACCCAACTCCAATCTCCCATCACCACCTTAACATGAGCATTCACCATACTTTCTCTCCTTACACTAGGACTAGTCTACGAATGAGCTCAAGGAGGTCTAGAATGAGCAGAATAATCACAGAAAGTTAGTCTAATAAAGACAGTTGATTTCGGCTCAACAAATCACAGTCCTACCCTGTGACCTTCTCTATGTCCTTCTTGCATTTAACCTTCTACTCCTCCTTTGTCCTAAGTAGCTTAGGCCTAGCTTTCCACCGAATACACCTAATTTCCGCCCTGTTATGCCTAGAAAGCATAATATTATCCATGTACATTGCCCTTTCTCTATGACCTATTCAAACACAGACAGCCTCATCCACCCTAATACCCATTTTAATACTGGCATTTTCAGCTTGTGAAGCAGGAACTGGCCTAGCAATCTTAGTAGCTTCAACCCGAACTCACGGGTCCGACCACCTTCAGAACTTTAATCTTCTACAATGCTAAAAGTTATTCTCCCTACTATTATACTACTCCCAATAACCCTTCTATCTCCTTCAAAATACCTTTGATCTAATGTCACCTCCCACAGCCTCCTAATTGCAACTATCAGCTTACATTGACTCTCCCCAACCTACTATCCTAGCAAAAGTCTATCTCAATGATTTGGGGTAGACCAAATTTCATCTCCATTACTAGTCCTATCCTGCTGACTTCTGCCCCTTATAATTCTAGCAAGCCAAAACCACCTTCAACAAGAACCACCTACACGCAAGCACATTTTTATCCTAACTATAATTATAACCCAACCTTTTCTCCTTCTAGCATTCTCATCACTAGAACTTATACTATTTTATATCGCATTTGAAGCCACCCTAATCCCTACCCTAATCCTAGTTACACGATGGGGAAGCCAGCCAGAACGCTTAACTGCAGGAATCTACTTATTATTTTACACGCTCATTAGCTCTCTACCACTACTAGTCGTCATCCTCCACCTTCACACCCAAACTGGTACTATACACCTTACCATAATAAAACTCACCCACCCATCCTTTAATCACTCATGAACAAATGCTATATCTAGCCTAGCCCTACTACTTGCCTTCATAGTTAAAGCCCCCCTCTACGGCCTACACTTATGACTCCCAAAAGCACACGTAGAAGCTCCAATCGCAGGCTCCATACTTCTAGCCGCCCTCTTACTAAAACTCGGAGGATATGGCATTATACGCGTATCCATAATCACCAACCCTATCCTAAACCACCTACACTACCCATTCCTAACCCTAGCCCTATGAGGTGCATTAATAACAAGCTCCATCTGTCTACGCCAAATTGACTTAAAATCTATAATCGCATACTCCTCCGTTAGCCATATAGGACTAGTCGTAGCCGCAACTATAATCCAAACCCACTGATCATTCTCAGGTGCTATAATCCTAATAATCTCCCACGGCCTCACATCCTCCATATTATTCTGCCTAGCCAACACAAATTACGAACGAACACATAGCCGAATCCTCTTCTTAACACGAGGCCTGCAACCCCTTCTCCCCCTAATAGGAATCTGATGACTCTTAGCAAGTCTTACAAACATAGCCCTCCCCCCTACAATCAACCTTATAGCTGAACTAACTATCATAATTACCCTCTTTGACTGATCTATCTTCACCATTATTCTAACTGGAACCGCAACCCTACTAACCGCATTATATACTCTATACATACTCCTTACCACCCAACGAGGTCCCATCCCAACCTACATTACATCCATCCAAAATTCAAACTCTCGAGAACACTTACTAATAACTCTTCACATCCTACCAATCCTCCTACTCATTCTAAAGCCAGAACTCATCTCATTAATCCCCTCCTGCAAGCATAGTTTAACCCAAACATTAGATTGTGATCCTAAAAATAGAAGTTAAACCCTTCTTGCCTGCCGAGGGGAGGTTCAACCAACAAGAACTGCTAACTCTTGTATCTGAGTCTAAAACCTCAGCCCCCTTACTTTTAAAGGATAACAGTAATCCACTGGTCTTAGGAGCCACCCATCTTGGTGCAAATCCAAGTAAAAGTAATGGACCTCCCATTAACCCTAAACTCCTTCATACTCCTAACCCTCCTAATCTTAATAACCCCAATCCTCCTTCCCCTCCTACTTAAAAATTATCAAAACTCCCCAACTAGCATTACCCATGCTGTCAAAATCTCCTTCATCACCAGTTTAATTCCCATAATCCTTTTCATATACCTAAATATCGAAAGTATTACTCTCCACTGAGAATGAAAATTTATCACAAACTTCAAAATTCCACTAAGCTTCAAAATAGACCTATACTCACTAACATTCTTCCCTATCGCACTATTTGTAACATGATCAATCCTCCAATTCGCATCATGGTACATAAGCTCAGAACCCTTCATCACAAAATTCTTCTCCTACCTCCTAATATTCCTCATCGCTATACTTACCCTTATCATTGCCAACAACATATTCCTCCTATTTATTGGATGAGAAGGAGTAGGAATCATATCATTCCTCCTCATTGGATGATGACACGGACGAGCAGAAGCCAATACAGCTGCACTCCAAGCCGTACTTTACAACCGCATTGGAGACATCGGCCTAATCCTTTCAATAGCTTGACTAGCCACCACCACAAATACTTGAGAAATCCAACAACTACTCCAAAACCAAACTTCCCTACTCCCCATTCTAGGCCTAATCCTAGCAGCCACAGGAAAATCTGCCCAATTCGGCCTACACCCATGACTTCCAGCAGCTATAGAAGGACCTACCCCTGTATCCGCCCTACTTCACTCTAGTACAATAGTAGTTGCGGGGATCTTCCTACTTATTCGAACTCACCCCATATTCTGTAATAACCAAATAGCTCTAACTCTATGTCTCTGCCTAGGAGCTCTATCCACACTATATGCCGCTACATGCGCTCTTACCCAAAATGACATCAAAAAAATTATTGCTTTCTCTACATCAAGTCAATTAGGCCTAATAATAGTAACAATCGGCCTAAACCTCCCACAACTAGCCTTCCTACACATCTCAACTCACGCATTCTTTAAAGCCATACTTTTCTTATGTTCAGGATCAATCATTCACAGCCTCAATGGTGAACAAGACATCCGAAAAATAGGGAGCCTACAAAAACTACTCCCTACAACAACATCATGCTTAACTATTGGCAACCTAGCTCTCATAGGAACCCCATTCCTAGCAGGATTTTACTCAAAAGACCTCATCATTGAAAGCCTCAACACATCCTACCTTAATACCTGAGCACTCATCCTAACTCTACTAGCCACATCCTTCACTGCAACTTACAGCCTCCGTATATCTCTATTAGTACAAACAGGCTTCACTCGAATCCTTCCTTCCGCCCCAATTAACGAGAACGACCCCGCGATCACAAACTCGATCACCCGCCTTGCCTTCGGAAGCATCATAGCTGGTCTATTAATCACCTCCTTTGTCCTCCCTACAAAAACCCTGCCAATAACTATACCCTTTATCACAAAAATCACTGCCATTACTGTATCTATTCTTGGCATCGTACTTGCACTAGAACTTTCTAAATTAACCCACACATTCACTACCCCTAAACAAAGTGTCCTCACTAACTTCTCCACTACCCTAGGCTACTTCAACCCCTTAATACATCGTCTAATCTCAACTAAACTTTTAAGCAACGGACAAAACATTGCATCCCACCTAATCGACTTATCATGATATAAGAAAATAGGCCCCGAAGGACTTGCAACCCTACAACTCAAAGCTACTAAAACCTCAACTACTCTCCATACCGGACTAATCAAAACATATCTAGGAACTTTCGCCCTATCCATTTTAATAATCCTATCCATGTTAAGAATCAACCACTAATGGCACTCAACCTACGAAAACACCACCCCCTCCTAAAAATAGTAAACAACTCCCTTATTGACCTCCCCACACCATCAAACATCTCAGCCTGATGAAACTTTGGTTCTCTCCTAGGAATCTGCCTAATAACACAAATCATCACCGGCCTCCTCCTAGCAATACACTATACTGCAGATACATCCCTAGCCTTTACATCAGTCGCCCACACATGCCGAAACGTCCAATTTGGCTGACTCATCCGAAATCTTCACGCAAACGGAGCATCATTCTTCTTCATCTGCATCTACTTACACATCGGACGGGGATTCTACTACGGATCCTACCTATATAAAGAGACTTGAAACACAGGCGTTGTACTACTCCTCACTCTAATAGCTACCGCTTTCGTCGGCTACGTTCTCCCATGAGGACAAATGTCATTTTGAGGAGCCACAGTAATTACTAACCTATTCTCAGCAATCCCCTACATCGGCCAAACACTCGTAGAATGAGCTTGAGGCGGATTCTCAGTTGACAACCCCACACTTACCCGATTTTTCGCCCTTCATTTCCTTCTACCATTTATAATCGCAGGACTCACATTCATCCACCTAACCTTTCTACACGAAACAGGGTCAAACAATCCCCTTGGAATCTTCTCAGACTGTGACAAAATCCCATTCCATCCGTACTTCTCTACAAAAGACATCCTTGGCTTTATTATCCTCCTTCTCCCACTAATAACATTAGCCATATTCTCCCCTAACCTTCTAGGTGACCCCGAAAATTTCACACCCGCCAATCCATTAACAACCCCTCCTCACATTAAG